AAAGTTCCATTTTTGTGGAGAAATGACGGGAGACAAGCCCATTCTATAATGTCAACAAGTTTCAGTTTATTCCAAGCACGCATGTACAGTTATACCCGTTATAATGAAGCTCATGCATATTGCAAAACTGAGGCTCCTAATTGGTGTCTCTAGAACAGGTCAACCCCGCCTTTGGGGCTTTCTATGCTTTGTTTTCCCTCACACTTATCTCTTTGCTGACCGTTCTGCTGCTGGGAACCAGCTCACCCAAGGATGTAAGGCGCCGCCGCTGAGCTGCCTGCAGCTCAAAACCCACCCAAAAATAGCCCAAAATCGTCCTAAAAATACCCCCAAAAAACACACCCAAAAATACCCAAACCCTCCTAAAAATACCCAGAAAACTCACCATAAAATCCCTAAAACCAGCCGAAAACCCTCCCAAAAATACCCCAAAAAATCCACCCAAAAATACCCTAAAACCCACAAAAAATACCCCAAAGCCTGGGGTCCCAGAAGGAATTTTGGGGACCCTTATAGGAATTTTGGGGGTCCCAGGAGGTGTTTTGGGGTCCCAAAGAGAATTTTGGGCATCCCAGGGGGGGTTTTGGAGTTCTGGGGAGAATTTTGAGGATCTCAGGGGGTTTTTGGGAGGAATTTTGGGGGTCCCGAGTAGAATTCTGTGGGTCCTTGGGGGGGGGGGTTATGGTCCTGAAGTGAATTTTGGGGTCTCAGGGAGTTTTTGGGGGGTCCCAAAAGGAATTTTGGTGACCGTGATGGGAATTTTGGGGGTCCCAGGGGAGTTTTGGGGTCCCGAAGAGAATTTTGGGAGTCCCAGGGGGGTTTTGGAGTCCTGAGGAGAATTTTGAGGGTCTCAGGAGGTTTTTGGGAGGAATTTTGGGGGTCCCGACTAGAATTTTGGGAGTCCCAGGGGAGGTTTTGGGGTCCTTAAGGGAATTTTGGGGTCTCATGAAGTTTTTGGGGGGTCCTAGGAAGAATTTCGGGGACCCTGATGGGAATTTTGGGGCTCCCAGGGAGGGGTTTTGGGGTCCCAAAGGGAATTTTTTGGGTCTCAGTGGGGTTTTGGGGCTCACAGGAGGAATTTCAGGGACCCTGATGGGAACTTTGGGTGTCCCAGGGGGGCTTGTGGTGTCCTGGGGAGAATTTTGGGGGTCTTAGGGATTTTTTGGGAGGAATTTTGGGGATACCGAGTAGAATTTTGTGGGTCCTGGGGAGGGTTTTGGAGTTCTGAAGGGAATTTTGGGGGTCTCAGGGATTTTTTGGCCGGTCCCAGGAGGAATTTTGGGGTCCTGAAGGGAAATTTGGGGGTCCCAGGGGGGATTTTTGGGTCCCGAAGGGAATTTTGGGAGTCCTAGGGGGGGGTTGGAATCCTGGGGATAATTTTAAGGGTCTCAGGGAGTTTTTGGGAGGAATTTTGGGGTCCCGAGTAGAATTTTGGGGGTCCCAGGGGGGGTTTTGTGGTCCTGAAGTGAATTTTGGGGTCTCAAGGAGTTTTTGGGGGTCCCAGGAGAAATTTCGGGGACTCTGATGGGAATTTTGGGGGTCCCAGGGGGTTTTTGGGGTCCCTAAGGGAATTTTGGGCGTTCCAGGGCCGTCCCGGTGGTTTTGGGGTCGCGCTGGCTGCGGGGCTGCAGTACCGCCCTGTGTCCACAAGGCGGCAGCACCTGCCAAGGGAGTCCGCGACAAGATGGCGGCCCGTGGGGACCTTGA